AAAAAAAACCTCTGAGTGTGCATAGAGGAGTAGGAACTATCTTCATATAATATTGTCTATGAAGTGTGAAATACACTGTGTGTTCAAATTCAAAGAATAGGATTTTCCTAGGCAGAATCTTATAATATCCCAAATGATGTCCCAGAAAATTGCTTCACCTAGAACATTCACCTTAACCCTATTCAAAAGAGTGTTTCATCATGAGTTACATATTTTTACATTGAAATAGCAAGGAGTCAACATTTGGAAGACAGTAAGTTACGTTTATGGACATCATTTTGCAGTAGGATGGACAAGTTATCGGAGCCAGAGTTCTGGACAGATTTGTGTCTCTTTGTGATGCACTCTTTAATCATAGACATTTCACCTTTCCACTTGAAAAGCCCATGTCCTGTTCTCCAGCGCTATTCACGGAAATGTGGAGTAGTGTGTGATTGTTGAGAGCAGCAGGAAGAAAATCCCTCTCTCCATTTATATATACATATACATGCCCCATAAACACATCCCTCTGAGACTTCCTCTGGAAGCCTAGTATGGGTGAAGGTATAGTATGTGCTTCAGCCAGCTATAGTATCAGTGACAGTTTGTTTCACTTTAACAGATGCGAAAGATGAAGAGAAGGAAGGACACTTCTCTTCTGCTAGCAAAGGAGAGCTCAGAATTGCACTCTTAGGTGACGGGAAGACTGAGATGTCAACTGTAAGAAACATCATCCTGGACAGAGTGGAGCCAGAATCTAATCGCAATGAGTGCAAGAAGTTCCAGGGAAAGGTTTCTGAGCGATGGGTCACTATAGTTGAGACACCAGGGCAGTGGATGGAAAAGCTGGCATCCAGCTGGTTTCTGTCTAGAGGTATTCAGAAGATTCAACCTCAAATTGAGGACTGTGGTTCTCTTCTTTTCCCAGGGCCTCATGTCTTTCTATTAGTGGTTCCTTCCGAAATCACAGAGGAGAAGAAAATACTAAAAGCTGTTAAGAAGGTTTTAGGCCAAAATATTATGAGTTACACCATGGTCCTGCAAAAACGTGAAAAAGATTCTTACAGACTGCCATTCTATAATACAAAACTGCAGACCTTATTAAAGAAATGTGGAAATAGGTCTCATGTTTTCAACCGTGACAGGACAGATCGCACTCAAGTCACTGAGCTCCTGGGCAAAATAGATGAAATAGTGGCTAAAAATGGTGGTTATTACTACTGTAATGAAATTTATAGGGCTGATACTAGATCACTGATTACAAAAAGGGAAAATGAGCTGATTG